AGCTGCAGAGTTCTGAATGACCTGCAGGTTGTGGAGGGAGGTGCCGGGAAGGCCAATGGGAAGAGTGTTCCCGGAGTCCAGCCTTGAGGTGATAAAGGCGTGGACCAGAGTTTCAGCAGCGTTTCCTTGCCATCTTTAGGTCACACCTGAAGACCTTCCTCTTTGACCGTGCCAATGGTTACCTCCCCCTTCTGGCTCGGTGGCATACTCTGTCAATGTCAAGTGCTCTGGGACACAACCGTACTGTGGAATTAGACTCCAGCAGTTACCCCAATCCTTGGCTCTTGCCAACCTGTGTCTAATACTCTCTGGAATTAGGTAAGCAGCGTGCATCACTCCAGGGAGAGAGAGAGAGCATTCCATTCCAACAATCTATCTCTGGGATTTATTTCCATGTGCAAATGGGATGCATAGAATTCTCAGTTGGGTTTGGAGACTCTTAAGCACAGTGAAGGGTTTCCACGTGTCAGACGCCCACCCAGCTGATGAAAAAAAATTGTTTTATAAATGTAAGGGGTGAGGTGTTCTGTGACATCTCTCTGGGGTGAAAGGTGCTGTGCAATGTTAATTAGGTGTATCATTATTTTTACAAACAGGTTGGGAACAATTTTCAAGAAAGGGGAAAAAAGGAGTTGAATGACATTGCCTCTTACCCAGAAAACCTCTATAATATCGCTGATTATACTCAGCTGAACAACGTGCTGAAATCGTTAAAGGAGAAGATGTATTTAATTGAAGGTCAGTTTAAAAACATTTTAATAATTCATAACTCCATATCCTCAGCCAAACCAAACTCTGTGCCCATTACACCAGCCCTCGCCAGGCTTCACTGGCTCCCTATCACACACTAAACTGTGCGCCCATTTCACCAGTCCCTCCAGGATCCACTGGCTTCCTAATACATAACGGATCTATCTCAAGATCCTCACACTCGCCAACAAATCCCTTCACAACCTGGCACCTCCCTGCCTCTCTGACCTGCTTACTTATCTTTCAGTAGGAACCCAGTTGTCGGTCGGTTGGTCGGTCAATCAATCAATCAATCAATCTGATTGTTAACCCCAGGGAAGCCATCTGCCAATCGACTAACAACTGGGTTCCTACCAGCTACTTGGTAAACAGAGGTGTGTGGAATAAGATAACTTGCCCAACCTTTCATCCACGCTGGGAATCGAACCACGCTGCCTCACTTGTGAGATGAGTGCTCTAACCACTGCACTGCAGGACTCTACAGGACTTCTTGTTGTTCTATGTCTCAGAAGCAAATTCTGTCGGATTTACCCCCATAGGGACCCAGGAATCTGACTCCGCCTCCTTCAAAATGGAAATGTCACAGGGAGGATTCAGTGCCCTAATATCAAAGGTACATGGAATAAACAATGGAACAGAAATTGGATTCAGATATGAGAGGGAGATGGGTAGAGACTTGGGGAAGTCAGGTGATGGATTGAAGTGTGAGAGGGATATGGATAGACTGGGGAGTGTGGGTGTGATGTGATGTTGGAGAGGGAGATGGATAGAGACTTCGGGAGTCAGGGATGGATTGAGATGTGAGAGGGAGATGGATAGAGTTGGAGAGTCAGGGGATGGATTGAGGGGTGAGAGGAGATATAGGCTGAGATCCTGACATGTGTTTCTCAGGACGCCATGGTTTTTGGGACCGTGGGAGCCTACGATTGGTCAGGAGGTCTGATGGAGTACGTCGATGGGAAGCAAGTCTTTATAAACGTCTCGCAAGCTGAGAATGACATGAAGGACTCTTATCTAGGTAATAAGAATAAGGAATTATTACGAAAATAATTATTTTATTATCATTTAATAATTATTAATAACATGTTGTTATCGGCGGCGCCATCCTTCGGATGAGACATTAAACCTCATTCCCTCCAAAGATCTTCCACGGCACTATCGGGAGGGAAAAGCGAATGGAGTTTCTCTCTGTGTGACACTCTCCCGGTCTCCTGGTTGACAATCCCCCAAATAAAATGGCTCGCTCTCCTCACGGCTGTTTGCAGGGACGTCGCTGTGCACAAACTGGCTGCCGCTTTTCACCCACAAAACATCATACTTCACAGTATATCCTGTCCGGTGCTTTGAGATGTCTTGGAGATGTTATAATAATAATAACAATAATAATAACAAAAATCCTTGCATTTGATATAACACCTTATCACATCTCAAAGTGCATCACAGAATTTTCTGTGATGTGCAGTGACTGTATATTTTGTGGGCAAAACTAGGCAGCCAATTGCACCAGCAGCATCCCACAAACAATCATGGATTCAGTGAACAAATTATTTTTAAAATTTATTATGACGGATTTATTATCCCTGGAAAAGCAATCAGTCAATCGACTAACAATCAGGTTACTTCTTACTGCAAGGTAAACGTGCGTTTTCCCCTGCCTGGGAATCGAACCCGGGTCCTTTTGCTTGCGAGGCGAGTGTTCTAACCAATATGCTACATGACTCCATAGCAAGAATTATTATTATTATTGATAAACCACTCAGCTCCGGCGTGTGCTGAAGATTGCAGACTGACTGACGCTGCTCTCTCTGCTCCTGGCTTGCAGGGTACTCAGTGGCAGGAGCGAACGTGAGCGACACGTCTCTCTACATTGTGGGAGCTCCTCGCTATCTGCACAAGGGCAAAGTGGTGATATTCTCAAAGAACTTGTCAACTGGCTCTTGGGCCCCAATCCAGCATATCAACGGACAGCAGGTATAGCACAACAGGAACCCCCCCTCTTCTATTCCTGTCTGTTCCTTTCCACACTTTACTGTGTCTCTAACTCTGACCCGGGAGTGACAAACGTGTTCATTTCACATTCCATTATTCGTCTCAGAGAACTTGCCTGGGACAGATAATGTAGAGGAAGCTTTACTGTGTCTCTAACCCTAATCTGGGAGTGCGGATGGATAGTGTAGAGGGAGCTTTACTGTGTCTCTAACCCTGACCTAGGAGTGTGGATGGACAATGTAGAGGGAGCTTTACACAGCTGTAGCTGTTCACACTGACTTGCATTGCAGATCGGAGCATACTTTGGATGTGAGCTGTGCAGTGTGGATTTGACTCAAGATGGAGGCACAGACTTGTTGCTGATTGGAGCACCTCTGTATCACGACTATGGGGTTGGGGGAATGGTCAGAGTCTGTGTTCTCAGGAACTTGGTATGTTTCAACGTGTGTTTGTGCTCAAAGAAGAATATTATCTCAACCCTTCCTGTTCATTCCCACCATAAACACTGCCAACCCCTGCCTGTTCATTCCCACCATACACACTGCCAACCCCTGCCTGTTCACTCCCACCATACACACTGCCAACCCCTGCCTGTTCACTCCCACCTGCCTATTCTCTTCAGGGCACTGCGGATGTCAGCACAGGCTCATTGGCAGGACCTGGAAGGGCAGGCCAGTCACTGGGGGAAGGGAATCCCCCACTGAGCTCCTGTTAACCCTGCAGCCAAAATCCTAACGGGGAGGGTGGTGCCGCTGGACAAGCAGCGGGAAAGCTTGCCAGACAGCGTTTTCAGTGGCAAGCTATGTGGTTTTAGCTGGTTAGATTCCAGCAGTTACCCCAACATACACTCTGGGGTCCCCAAGCCTTGGCTCTCACCAACCTGCGCCTAATACTCTTTGGAATTAGGTAAGCAGGAAGTGTCCCTCCAGAGAGAGAGAGAGAGTGCGCATTCCATTCCGACAATCTACATCTGGGAATTACCAGGTTTAGGTGGAATGTATGGAAATCTCAGCTTGGATTGGAGACTCTTAAGCCTGGTGAAGGGTTTCCACGTATGTCAGACACCCAGCCGATGGGAAAAAAAAATGTTTTCTAAATAAATGTAAATGGTGAAGTGTTGTGAGACGTCTCTGGAAGTGAAAGGCCCTGCGTTGATTCTTCCTAGGAGAATTTGACCTGCACAGACACGCTGTACGGGAAAGCAGGGAATGTCTTCGGGAGGTTCGGAAGTGCGATATCTGAGTTGAGGGACGTGAATGGGGACGGGATCAACGACGTGGCCATCGGGGCTCCCCTGGAGGACGAGCACGCTGGCTGTCTTTACATCTTCAACGGGGAGCGGCACCGCATCAATCCTGTCTATAGTCAGGTCAGTGATCCCAGTACCTCACCAGGGGGCGCTAGTGTAGCCATAACTAGTCCTGCAGTGCAGTGGTTAGTGATCTAGTTGAAGAGGAGGGTCTTGAGATGGGCCTTGAAGGAGGCAAGGGAGGGGGCGAGGCGAAGGGACTGTGAGATGACGTTCCAATGGGTGGGGGCAGAGAGGCTGAAGGCCCGACCACCGATAGTGGGACAGGCTGGGCGGGAGAACATGGAGCAGGCCGGAGTCCACGGGCTGATGCTGTCCCGCTGATCGCTCGCTCCCGGTCTTTGCGTGTGCAGTTTGGCTGCCGCCTCGACCGAACCGCTCTCCCCGAAAATGCTTCTCCTCCTACCCCCCTCTATCCGCTACTCCCACTCGTCCTTCTCTCCCACCGCCCTCCACGCCTTCTCTCTCTCCTGGACCCCATCATTACCTCCCTCTGCCCCAGACTGGGCAGCCTCCTCCGGGCCCATCGTGGCTCCTGCGTTGGTTGTACCAGAGCAGCCATCCCAACTGTTCCATTGTTCACTGTCTCCACAGCATCCGCCTCTGCAACAACTCTTCCCCCTCCCTCAGCCATACCCTCTCCAACACTGCCTGCTCCTCAAACTCCACGGTCATTTCTCCCCCATGACACCAAATCCTCTTCATTCCACGCTCTCCTCCATCCTCACCCATCAGCCAACCCATCCGCATTTCCCTACAAAATGTCTGCTCCATCTGCAGTAAAGCCCTCACTATCCATGACCTCATCCTGGATGAGCACATGGATATTCTTGGGCTTACGGAAACCTGGCGACGGGAACACGCTCCCATCTTCATTAACCCTACTCTTATCGGTGTGTAGATTACCAGCCTGCCAAAAATG